GCCAGCAAGCAGGGCGAGGGGTCGATCCTCCATCAGAAATGCATAGGTATAAACATGGCAGGGACACCCACGCCCCCGTGGGAAGGGTCACCATAGGAGACCTTCCACATCCAGCAGGCATGGTCTCTACTTCTACCTCCAACTGGGTCAAAAGCAGCATTTGCCACAGGCACGGTTCGATCACACTCATGCTCCTTGCATCGCCCTGCAAGGAAAGACGGGTCCTTCAGGTCAGACAGCCTCTCTGCCAGCCACAAGCCCCCAGAAGTACTTGATTCTGCTAAGGGTCACCATAGGAGACCTTCCACATCCAGCAGGCATGGTCTCTACTTCTACCTCCAACTGGGTCAAAAGCAGCATTTGCCACAGGCACGGTTCGATCACACTCATGCTCCTTGCATCGCCCTGCAAGGAAAGACGGGTCCTTCAGGTCAGACAGCCTCTCTGCCAGCCACAAGCCCCCAGAAGTACTTGATTCTGCTTCCTGGGAACCCCTCCAGCTCAGCGATTCCTCTTCCGCACCCCCGCGCTGGCCAGGCTCTCTTTCTGACTAAGGAGTAGCCACGTTTCCAACCACAGCTACAAAGGCAGGAGAACCCGAGAGGTCTGCTTTGGTTCAGAAACCCCGTTCGTTTGCAGCAGGCTGGCAGCACCCAGGTCCTCACGCGCGCGCCCCGGCGCTGCTCTACTTGGGAGGTATCACGACTATAGGCTGGCCTCGCTTGGGTCTCCACATGAGGACTTGGGCATCGTTGGCGTTGGGTTTCACTAGTGCATTTGGTGGGATGGGCTCCATCCTGCTGAGGATCCGGGGCTGCTCCTGCTGAGTCCTTCCCACCAGCCGTGCCCGCTGCCCCAGCAGCTGCATGGGATCAACCTCAATGTCCACTCGCATCCTCCACTTTATAGTCTGCAAGATGATCTTTTCCTTGGTGGTGGTGTTCATGGCCACCAGCCACGTGGTAAAGCTCTGGTCCCTTTTAATCCTGGTCAGCAGCGGCACGTTACTGTTGCTCACAGGGACAGCCCACGTCACGCTGGGGTAGAAATTGTCATTCATGCTCACCGAGAACCTGGAGATCTTGTTGGTGGGCCCGACCAGGGTCACAGTTTCTGTGGTGTTTCCGTACCAGGGGTAGCTCACACCATCCGAATCGCTGATGGCTTTTACTCTTCCTTCTCGCAGGTCGGGCAGCTCCCAGCTTGACCTAGCAAACAGGAAGAGAAAGGCCATGTTATCAGGGAAACGGCAGTGACAGTGCCCAGTGAAGGACAAGGAGGGAGGGACAGGGAGGCAAGCAGCTCAGGGACATCTCGCCGCCTGCAGCAAGCTCTTGAGGACCTCTTTCAAGAACAAATTTGGCTTCAGTTCCTTCACCAAGCCAGTCACAGCCAGCTGAAGCTTTTGTTCTGCCAGCAAAACACTATTTTAATTAACCTGCAATCAAACCAACTGGGCTAAAACTCATTGCTGAGTCTCTCTGGGGTCACTCTCTCCTTAATCAGCCCCTGCACTGGAAGAGAACAGCTTTCCCCATCCACCAGCTGCAGCACCACGACCACAGCACCAGCCAAGCCTGTCAGCAGCTCCCACCCAAGCCTGTCAGCAGCTCCCTCCTGCGATACAACTCTGCCATTTTTATGCCTCTAAACACACATGTCTGCACAGGGACACATACAATAATTAAAGGCCACAATTATGTCTGCCGCTGGTGTGATGAAATCCCCGCAATGTGGTTGGGGAGGGGGGAAAATTCCAGCCCAAATCTTGGCCGCCAACCACGTTAGCAACACCGCACAGCTACGGCAACGGAGACCATCGCCACGTGGCGACTACGAGCCGGAGCTTCAGTGAAGGCTCCTGCCAAGTGCGAGCGCTGGCTGCAAACACAGCCGGGCTCTGGAGCTGCCTGCGAGCGGCTGGGGACACCCCGCTGCCATCCCCCTGATAAGAGACCACCTCTGTTCGCCCCAATGTCCC